CAATCTTTAAATGATCTACATTATGGCTGTAACTGAGGAAAAATATTGTCTTGCACAGTTTCCAGTGTAAGCACTCAAATATTTTCTGATCAGGAGCTGACCAATGAGAAAACACTTCATTCATTGCACTTCCATGGCATTACCATTGGCAGCTCTGCACATGAAATGCATATTGACCTTCTCAGCATTGGAATAACAATTCATTTCTTCAGATGTTAAATCTGCAAATGTGTACAAAAAACATGCTTTTATATGCTTGCTAGAAAGTGCTTCCTACTGCCTTTGCTGTTTCAATTTGACCATGTATTCTATGATGAGAAATGCTTGTTTTGGTGTACTTCTCCAACACTTAAAATTTTACCCATCTTTTTTTAAACATCCTGTATATAAAATATAAAAAAATCAAATGTTAATTAATTCATTATTTTCTGCTGAGCACACTTTGGGTTGTTTATATAAAAAAATCACTTTGTAATCAAAATATGGGGAGGAAAAATCAATGACAAAAATTATTTTTAGAATTTTAGAACTTCTCAAATTAACAATGTCAAAACACAGTATGTTGATTTTAAAAAGAATTTTTTGCATTAACATTTTGATTTTTTCAAAATTTTCAGCAATTTCATATATCATCATCTTAAAGAACAATCTAATCTGCAAAATTTTCTATTCTTACATATTTTTTATTTTTAATGACTTTGGTTATCTAATGAATGACATATTCATCATTAATCTGTGCTATTAAACTATACAGTATTTGTATGTTTGACTTTAATATATTTTTATTCATAGATACTAACAAAAAGTATCTTATTCTGTTTATTTTATTTAAAAATTAATGAAATAAAATGTCATTATTTAAGACCATAATCACACATATATTGGCATACTTAAATTAACTCAATGTTGTTTTAATGTTATATTTTACATTGTATGCATAAAGAAAAATTAATGATTTATAAAATTATTTAAAAAAACAATTTATTATTAAAAACTTAATTTTGTGATTAACACTTGTCATACATCACAAACACATTTATATAACAGTAAAAATAGCTTTAATTTACATCTTCAGATGCAAATAGATCAAGATTATAATTATAAGCTCAATAATTATAAGACTTGTATAATTTATTGTATAATATAAACAATAATGTTATTAAAATTAATGAAGAAAATGTAAATTATATACATTTAAAAAATGTTTATAAAAATGCATTTAAACAATCAGCTAATATCAAGACTTAGATACCTTTATAATTTTTGCTTTACTTCCACCTAATG